ATTGCTGTGGATGCTGGGTGAGCCGCTCCTGCACCTGTGGCTGGTGTGCTTGCCAGAGATGGAGAGGTTGCGCTTGCCAGAGCTGCTGTGGCCGCGGTTGCAGCTGTTGCTGGGACTGGTGCGATTGTCGAGAGAACGACCTCGATGGTTGAGTCGGGACGGAAGCTGGCACTGCAGTAGGCACTTCGTCATTGTAAGAAAGCACACGCCGAGGCGCTGGCGTACGGAGAGGACGTGGCGTGTGATGGCCGCGCGACTCGCGCCGCGAGTGCTGCTGTGCCTCCATAGGTATCGGAAAATGATGATCGCCTTCTCAGATAACACACAGCACGAACCAAACACTTGAATATAGTATGTGCATAGTTGAACGCCGATGTACTATTGAGGATGTAGAAGGTAGTTGAAGTAGGTTTGAAGGGATTCAAATACCTTTCAGGGGTACCTCCGGATGCAGAGGTAACGGGAGGTTCACAAAGGTTCAGCGCCTGAGCCTTCACACCACTAGTGATCTCCATTGTACCACGAAAGTTCCAGATCCACTGCATCCACCATCCCTGCATCTTGGATCCAGGTCACTCTATGCGGGATCCTCCCTCCTTGAATCCGAACTCAGAAGTATGGGATCCGGGACACCTCGCGGTGGATCTTGACTTTTCATTAGTCGTGGTTACTAGATCCACCTTCTGAGGGCACCTACCATCATTCCTTCATAGGATCCACACTCGATCCACTCTTATATAGTATATCCCATATCCATCTAAGTGGATCTAGGTAAGGGTGGATCCGAGATAAGTCTTGGTGGATCTTGCCTTCTCGTGCATTGCTCATACCAGATCCATCGTCATTCCATACAGGGTGCTGCTCGACATGGCTAATCCACCACAGGCAACTTGCATCCGTGCCAGACAATCCAAATCCTCTCTAATCAACTTGAAATTGTCACTGATTTGGGATAGTGACCCCGCGTCAGGCCCATTCTCTTATTTCTGAGAAAGCACTTCACCACAATCGCCTCCTGTACGTTGTCGGCGCTGCACAACAGCGTTCACGACGTGCACTACCAGCATCCACACCCGCCTTCTCCTCTTCGTGACACATGTCTCCCGTTAAGCGTACCAGTCAATCGCCGGGCAAGGCTCCATCCACCACTCCTCCGGTCAGCCCCTCTTCAATGTCGCCCACCGATCTGCGTACCCTGGCCCAAACTCTGTCCGATCGGATGCAAACCTTGACGGCAGAGCTCCAAGCGACCCAAGATGTTAGCGACCGAGCTGCGTCTTTGCACACCACCCAACTCCAAACCTTGCGAGCCCAGGTCCATGACCAGGCTATGGAGATCCAGGGGTGGGAGCACCGTGTGGCCTCTCGGTCGCAGGACCTACGACGCTTGTTGGCTGATCAGGCGGTCGAGATCCGCGGCCTGACCGGACGGCTGGATCGCGGCTTTTGTCAACGAGATGGCATGCGAGATGACAACGACCATCTCCTTAGGGAGATGGCGCTCGCCGGGTCTGAGATCCACCAGCTCCAATCCCGGATCTACGACCTCGAGCGAATATTCCCAGGCTGCTAGGGCAGCCGCGGACGCGAGCTTGGATCGACTCCGTGACGAGTTGCGCCTGACTCAAGAGGAGGTGGTAACCAACGACTATGTGGGATCTACCCAGGGCGGATCCGCCTTAGGGTCGGCGCGTGGAGGGTCCCCTGCGCCAAATCCCCCCCCCCTCGTCGCCGGATAAAGCTCTGGCCCAACTTTCTGAGAAGCTGCAGGATACGAAGGAGTCGCTCGAGAAAGCGTCTGCCGGACGAGATTACGTGCTCGAAGAGTTCGTGCGTATAACTCAATTGCGCGACGAGATCCAAGCGAAACTGGCGGACAGCGAGCTCCAGCGGGACAAGGCGGCCACCGAGTGGGCGGATGTCAAGCGGACGCAAACGGAACTGGAATCCAAGCTTCGCCGCACGAGTACGTGGATCCTCTTTTGGCCCTTGCTAGCAGCTCCATATTCACTTGATATGCCAATCCAGGTGACAAATTGAAAGAAGCCGATGCAACCACCGCGAAACGCCAGGATCGACTCGCCGCAGCCCAGACTCAGCAGCAACAGCTGGTCCTGGAGCGCGATCGTGGCTTATCGGAGCGGGATTTGGCACGTCGACGACTGGCGCTGGTGACAGCTGCCGTTTCGGATCCCCTTTCTCCCTTGTCGGGACCCTCTCGTGCTGCCAGCGTCTCTGCCCCTCTTCCGTCTGTAAGTGGGGCGGATCCGTCGGCTGCGAAACGCCCGCGTAGTGCATCTCCCGCTCCTAGACCCGGATCCCCCGTTCTCACAAGCATGCCCGAGCCTCCCAAAGGCCTATCCAAAACCAGTTCGGCCTCAAAGACGGCTTCTCAGGTGGGACCCACATCCACTCCCAAGGCGGGATCCAAATCCACCTCCAAGACTTCCACCTCCTCCTCGAAGTCTGGAGCCGGATCCAATACCGGATCCACCACTACATCCAAGTCGACTTCAGTGCCCACGACTGGATCTACGGCGTCCAAGACTGGAACTGGGCCCAAGACCGGATCTACGGCGTCCAAGACCGGATCCGGACCCAAGCCTGGATCCGTTGCGGCATCCAAAGCGGGATCCTCGGCATCCAAATCCGAATCAGCTGCCAAGGCCGGATCCGGTGCTGTATCCAAGTCGGTATCGGCGCCCAAAACTGGATCCACCACCGCGCCGTTCTCCCAGGCAGTGGTGTCAACTGGATCCACAGCTATCGCTGCTCCTACGACGGGGTTAGCCCCTTCTACGGCTAAGTCCGGACAGTCTCAGTCGGGATTCACCGCTGGCCCTTCGGTGACGACACCTGCCGTTCTCCGGCCAGCTAACACCGGCCATCCGCCAGCCCATACTGGACCCGGGAAGGGGAAAGCCAAACGTGTCATTCCCCCGGGATGTGGACTTGGCAGCTCGGAGGACGACGAGGATGAGAAGTCAGACTGGTCCAACGGCTCAGGTCCTCCTACCCGATCGTCGTCGAAGCGTACGTCCTCCTCCGACCCGTATCCCTTCACTCTGGGCGATGAGGACGATGACGACGACGAGGACGATGAGAGTCCGGAGAATTCGGAGGAGGCTCGAGCCGCTGAGGATGCCTTGGAGGAAGACACGCGACGGGCTCTGTCCCAATCCCGATCCGAAGCCCGGTGGAGATCCCTCTCGACACCGCCTCCGC